CTTACAAAGCTGCGGTAAGCAACAATGTTGTATGGACCAAAATTCAACACCAACGTTGTATTGCAGTCAGAGCAATTTGGAACTCCCTCAACGCTGCTCGACCTTGCACCTTAATATTATTTTTTTTATCTTTACTTTTTTATATATCACGTGGCCTAAATTAGCCACAATATTTATTTAATAGTAGCTAAACAAAACAAGGTTGTCTTTGGCATAAACCATCCTGCCAAAAGTACACACCCACTGCCAACTCCACGAATCAAACCAAACAAGCCATCCGTGAACACAATGTCTCATCACAACTGGCTTTACACACGACTGAGAAGTTTTGAAGTCAGTATTGGAATTCAACTTTTCAGCTCGTCCAACTTGAACATCCTTGTTCGAAACTCCACGAGCCTGATTTGACTTCATCTGAGCATCGCGGAATGGAAAACCATTAGCATTCTTGGCTCTAGACAAGACATCCCCCTTTTTTGGCACCTTTGTCTTGCCAGATCGACCATGTGGCATTGCTAACAAGTCTGTCTTTTCCAGCTTCACACTCTCACCACGTTGTTGGGAGTATGAGCACCAATTCTTACGAGCTTCACCATCACCCGTGTAAGTACTGTGATCTTGATTTTTGCACTTACCACAGAACCTCTTGGTATCTTTTGAACTTCCGAGTGGGATTGGAATTTTTCGGCATTGGACTTGCCCCCCTAGCCACCACTCGTAGCAGACTTATTTCCCAGAAATGATGGTGTAGCAACTCCAAGGCATGCTTGATCGGAGTTGCCCCTTGTCCACTCCATTGAGTATTTGGGGACACTTTACATGAATGATTCAATTGATTCATGCCAACTTTGGTGCCATTGGATTTTTTCACGTGGCTACCACCTCCATCTTGAGTAGTGTTTGTGGCAACCCTTGTTTTAATTTTGCTAGAACATGATGGATTTGGCAAACTTATTTGCCACTTGCGATGTTGTTTTTCCATCAACCGACCATACGGTGGGATCTCATGCCCCCCTAGCGGCTTAGATTGAACACCATTGCGATGTTGATTGGACAACCCATCATACGCGAGCTTGCTATGCTCAACGTGATTGTAACCAGGTTGTCCACCCTGATTCTTATTTTCATTCTTATTAGAAATATGTTGATACTGACCTCTTTGTAGTAGCTTCTGCAAGCCACCTCCAAGTTGTGTGTCCTTAAGAACAATGTTGTTCACTGGAAAAGACACATTGGGATTCCTTGCTTCTGGCAACAATGTCGTAGCCAGACTCATCGATGGCATTTGGTTGACCATGGCTAGTCGATCAACCATTAAATCATCGCACGCAACAGACATGGTTTCAGATTTAAACACATCAAAATCATACGTGGCTCTATGTATTGACATACTAAAATCAGAAACACAGTCATCCAACTTATCAAACCAACGATCTATGTTGTTTTCAAACTTATACATTTTCTTTTCAAGATTATCAAATTGGAGATTTACCTCTTGGTGAAACTCCTTCATGGATTGGCGAAACTCCTCCATGGATTGACGTAGATACAGGATTTCAGCATGTAGCAGCTCCTCCATCCCTTGAGTATAGGAATGGCAATGGGTCGGGTTGGGGCGGGTTTTATCAAACCCAAACCCATGGGTTTATCCGCCAAAAAAACCCGGGGTAAAACCCGTTGCATTTGAAAAACTCAAACCCAACCCAACCCGCTGGGTATCCGCGGGTTCATGGGTACCCGTGGGTTTTTCTAGTAAAAAATTTACAATAACAAGTTTCTTTCAAAATAAAAGTTTAACATCAATTTTCTCATACAAATTAATCATACAAAAAACACCAATCTAGAGCATACAAGCAAACCGCAAATGATCAATACAAATTGTTCAAAATTAAAGATAAACATCTATAAACAATAAGATTAATTGAAAATTTCTTCCTCGTCAACTAAGTTTCTTCATTCTTCACTTCATAATATCAACTTCATTCTAAACAATTAGAAAGAACAAATCATACATGTCTCCACAAACATAAAGAATATTAGTTGTTTAAGGAAGATATATTATTTAGAATATTAAATATACCAGGAAAGTAATTATATGTGTGTGGGCGGGTACCCATGGGGCGGGTTTACCTAAACCCAACCCGACCCGGTGAATAGTGTAGCGGGTTTAAACCCGAACCCGGCCCAAAACCCGTCAACACGGGTTTTACCCGCGTTGACCGGGTTGGGTCGGGTGGGTACCCATGGGTTCGGGTTTTGTTGCCATCCCTACTTGAGTATGTCTATCTGCCTCGTTCACCTCCTCCTCCACAGGTACGTGTGGAAGATCACGATCTTGATTTCCCCGACGCGGAGCCGTATTCACATCAAACACAGGTGTCCCACTGGGCGTGCCAAATTGTTTCCCCAGCGAAAACCAAATACCACCGCCGGTGCCGAATTTGTTTCCGGCGATGTTGATTTGATTGTTTCGATGTTGAAACCCTTGTGGTGCCGTTTGATGGGATGCACCCCTGATTGCTGAAATCGAGAAGACCGTCAAATATCGCCTGACGGTGGATATTTGACGGTCACGTGGATTTCACCATTCAGAGGTGCATCGATCAAATCAACATCGCACGACTGTTTCGCTGGCGAAACTCGTGCGTTGAATGCGCATTGTTTTCAAGTAAACACAAGCACAAAGTCAATCACAATCGTCAAATATCCGCCGGCGAATGTCGGCGTCGGCGATGTTGATTTGATCGATGCACCTTTGACTTCTAACCAGAACAAGCGTTACTCGGTTCACCACCTCTCCAAACTACGTTCGAACGAGGGTGTTCAACGAGAAACCAAACTGGGAGTGTTCTAAGTTACGTTACTTCTACTCCTATGGAGGTTCCTTTGGAGAGCTCCGCGACTACGACTACAAACTACGATCTACGACTCTGCAAAGGAGGTCTTTGACAGAGCGGTTCTACCAAACTAGAGAGAAAAAATGATAATTCTGCGACGGTGCAGTCTGAGATTTGATTTGTCGTCTTGAGCTTCTCTCTCTTCCCAATCTTTATACTTCGCGCTTCTCCCCGTCGTAGTAACTGCCTTCGCGCCTTTGTCTCCCACGTCTTCATTCCTGTCAACCGTGCAGGTAACTTCCTCCTTATTGTGTAACTCCCACGAGTGCGAAACCGCTTGTACACGCAGAAACTTGGCCAAAACGACACTGAGCCAAAATCCACAATTGTTGAACTCTCGCCACTGCGACGTTGTTTTCTATTAAACAACATCGTTTCAATACCGCGACAGTGTTGATATCTCTCACGATGTCATTTTTGACTAAACGACACCGTCTAAAATATCCCTTAAAATATTAATTAATTAAACCGGCTCTCATTGTTGACACGCTGTCAAACTCTCACTTCGCGACACCATTCTTAATTAAACAACATTGTTTTCTAGTTCTGCGATGCTGTTAAACTTCGCGATGCCGTTTTAAATTTAACACTATCATTTTAACCATTGCGGCATCGTTTGGACTACTTGCGGCATCGTTTTTAAATCCGCGGTGTCGTTTCTTTCCCGATATGCTTTTTAATTAATCGGTACTGAATATCAAGGCTCTCGCGGCATCGTTTTTAAATCCGCGGCACCGTTTTAACTCTCCGCGATGCAGCTTGTCCCATGCGGTGCCGCTTCTCCCCTTCCAACAAGGAATAAAAATAATAATTTAATTAGACAAACTCCTTCTCCAATACCCACACTAAACGCGCCGCCCTTTTTGTTTTTCAGTAAGCGGTGTCGTTTCCAGTACCACGGTACCGCTGAGCTACCTTGCGGTACCGTTTAGTTCTCCGCAACGCCGCTCGACTTCCAACGACAACGTTTTTTACCCGCGGTATTGAATTAAATGCCGAGACTAATTAATGCGGCGTTTAATTCCGACCGAATTAATTTTAGGTGTCAACAGGTAGTGAAGTTGGGTTAGGGGTAGGGTTGGGGAGTTCACTTGTTGTGATACTGAGAGAGTTTCCTGTTGGGGTTTTTGGGGTTTATGTTGTTGTTCGCTGGGATTGAGCTCGTCATGGCTTTGAGAGATGTGAACTCAAAGGAGGATGCTTTTGTTATGCTCGTATGCAACGTTGTCTCGCTCGTGAGATCGAGCGCGACTCTAGGTTTTTTGTGTGGGGTTATTGTGCTTTTTTTTTGAAGCCTTACAAGGGGGTGATGGTGGTGGTCAAGTTGGTTTGTTGTCAGCGGCGGATCCAGAACACAGAAGAGCACTAGGCCGCACTTCATTAGAAAATTAGAACCGTAAAAAATATAATGATTATAGTTTTTTGCAATGTAAATTGTACACGACTGTATTTTAATTTAGGGAATGCATCAATAATGAAGTCTACATCCATACCAATAGTATACACTGTTTCAAATAAAATACTTGAGCAATCGGCGAGAAATTCATCGCTCATTTTATTGAGCAAATCAGTTCTCACATGTTTCATTGTTAAAAAGGTTCTCTTCGTAATAGCTGTTGAAACGAGCAGCATCAACACGAGATAAATCAATCCACTAATCAATTTGCATTGTGTGTCCATCCGTGCACACCAGCTGCTTTAGTAAATTTGTAAGGGAACAAACCTCATATTTCTTTTAGTCTTTTACGTTTTAAAATTTTTAGAATTTTAGGTTTCATTGTTTTTTTAAGACGCATAATCTTTGGGGCTAAAATTTCTAGTCTAAATTTAGAATAGTGATTTGAATATGTTCACCTTGATAATTTTTCTAGTTAAACCCAATCTTATCATAGAATAACACTAGATCGAATGTCTAAAATCAAAAATTTCATAAGGACTATAGTAACTACGGATCCAGAGGAGGGCTGGGGCGGGGCCTGGGGTGGCCACCCCCTGGATCCGCAGTGTTTGTGGTATTGAGAGACGATTGTTGTTAAGGTGATGGCTAAAAATAAATAATAAGTTGCCTTTGAATTGCGTTGATATTTAGCTAATTTGATCTTTTGAACACTTGCCTCTTTATTTAACTATACTATAGAATGTACAACATTACATAGGATTGCACAATACACATAATATTGAAGTTTACAAAGATAAGAACCTTGCTCGACTCCTGCCTTACTTGTGCCACATGCCACCTGACTAGTCAAGGAATGTTGGCAGCACTGGTTGCTTGCTCCTCAATCAAATCACCTGATACCTGAGTACAAAAAAATATGAAGATATGTAATTAAGCTAACAAAACAGCAGAAGCCAAAGCACTAATTATCGAATTCAAAGATGTTACCTTGAGTTGGAATCGCGATAGGCCATGAGATGCATATCAATCAACAAAGTTGGGTACTCTTCGTCTGTTACGTCATTCGAAACGAGTGTAGCCTCATCTACCCAAATGGGTTTCCTCCCCTTGAAGGGAGATAGTTCTGGCGGACATGAAACGAGTTTTCTCCATCGGGTCGTTGCTGTTGGACCATATTCAATGAAGAAAAAGGGTCCTCATCAATGCCAAAGCTACCTCCTTGTTGCCTGCAAATGGTACACACAGAACACAAATTTATCATCTTAATTTTCTTCCTATGTACAATTTCTTTTAGTCGAAGTATCCATGGTGGGTTGAGGAGCAAAATTTGAACCTGAAAGGTGACAAGTTCATGAGCACCTGGTGCTCCACGTATGGACCTGAAATATTGAGAGAAAATGAATGAAGTTAGTTAGTCAGGCATATGATTTTGTACAGAAAAATGTATATATGAAGATTGGTGGATGTACCAGAAGATATCGTAGACTCAAATGGGAAAGATTGAGAAGGGATTCGTGAAGAATCTGGGATCATAGTCGAAGAAATGTGACCCGTTCTTGAACTAGGAAACAAGATGGGACGATGTTGCACATTAGGAGGTGGTGCACCTCCAAAGTTCCCCATGGCAGGATACTATAATGATAAATATAACAAGTCGTCAATTGAGCGCTGCTACACTCCTCAATTTTCGGGGAAAATAACCTCAGAAAAAACCCTGCAGGAAAGTTTTATTATTCCTATACCGGGTGTGCCTGTCTCTGAGAGTTGTCATCAAATGGGTTTGTTGACTTCACGGGGTTGGGGTATGCCATGACTTGCTGCGCAAGAAAATTGATCGCAAAGAAAATCAAGATCAGAAGGTTGGATTAGCAAGACATAATTTTTGTTGTTGCAAGAGTTCACCATTGGATTGTGGTAATACTGCGTCCCAAAGCCCATGTCGTATGGACTACTACCATATTGCCAACTTAGTGAAGGTCCTGTTGTTGGCATGAAGCTTGATACAAACAGGTCCTATGAAAAAAATAGTAGATTTAACAATTTGACCAATTTTATTAGACAGTTTATGCAAATATAAGACTGTGGGCATTGTAATTCACCACGGGAAGTTCCTGCCTCCCACTAGCCTTTGTTTCTGAAGCAATGGAAGATTGTTTTTGAACCCCAGAGTTAGACTCTTCAGCTGGTTGCGAGATTTGTTGTGAGGAAGTGGTAGATGGTTTTTGAACCCCAGAGTTAGATTCTTGAGCTGATTGAGAAATATTTTGTGAAGCGTGTTCAACTGAAGCACCTGAAGGTCCTTGCACAGTACATGATTCTGAGGAAGTACATGGCTGTGGAGATAAATAATAAGCACAAACTACACACAAAAAATAAGTTTTTCATACATTACCCTAGGTTTCTTATCAACTTAACTATAGATTTCTCTCTGAGAAGAAAAGAACTCCTATCTAACCTGGTTGTTTGTCTCTCCAACAAATGCAGAAGTTTTCTGGCCTGATTTAGTTGAACCAACAGTTAAAGAAGGTATCTTATCAGCTTTTTCTTGATACTTAACTTTGTCACCGTTGTTAGCTGTAAAAGAGGATTCGTGAAAAAAATCAGGTCTAGCCTCTGATGCACCACCTCCACTGGAAGGTTGCACAGGCAAATTAGCAGCTGACGGAAATAAAGAGCCACTGAAGGAGTCAAACAATGAGAGTGACTGCCTATAGGGTTCTGCAAGTGAAGCTCTTTCAGGTACATCATATGATACCAATGACATTTTATCCGAAGACCCAGCGGCTGAAACATTATCTGCAAACAAGTTTTGGGCAGACTCAACAGTTGAAGATCCAAGATGATCACATTTAGCTGACACCCCCATGGAGGTACTTCCATCTGAAGAGGCGCCAAGTGCAGCAATACCGCCTTCTAATACCGTCAATGGAGGAGTGGTATCCCTTTCAGAAACATTAGAAGCAGATGGTGTAACTGAGGGAGTTGATAACTCAAAGAGTAAAAATTCAACACTCTTCGGATTTGGTGCTAATGGTTCTTTCTTCACAAAGGATTCAATTGAGCTGTTATCAGAAGGTTGTGCTCCTGTCGCTTGATGTGGTGGTGCCACTACCAAAACCTTGGGGGACATGGAATCATTATTGAGGTCAATCAGGCTTTCTAAAGTCTGACTTTTGGCTTCTGCAATAGTATTGTCGGTTGGAGCCTTGATTGTAGAAGGTGTGGCAATCTGAAATTTTACAAAATTATGGGTTAAGCTCCAGATACGTGTGTCTCCCACAAAGTATGGTTAGCTCTCAAACAAGGTGACATAAATGCTGAAAATCAATTTCCTTAACACTGATAAAAGCTTTTTGCATCAATAAGGAGTTGAGTTTGCTCGCCTGGTCAGCTTCCTTCCCTTCACTTATCCTAGACTGCTTCCCAACATGTACCGGCGGGACATTTTGAGTAGGAGGTACCACTGCAGACTTAGACCCATCAATGGTTTTATCGGAGTCAGGTGACCTACTTGCACATTCAGACCTAGTCTCTTTATATGACAACCTGCTACTATTTGATGGCTGACCACTTCTACTTTCATTATCTCGAAACCTGTCATCAACAACCTCAAAGCGAACAGGGGATTTCTTCAAGCCTCCTCCATATCTCGAACTTTCTGGGGTATAGCTAGGACTTCTCATTTCGTTGTAATAATATTTGAAGCTTCTTTCAGAACTCCATCTACTAGGACCATATCTATCACGACCATTTCTCCTGTTATCAAAACTTGGACTTCTGGTTACCTCATAGCCCGGACTTCTGGTTACCTCATAACTTGGACTTCTGGTCATCCCAAGAGCTGAGCTCCTAGCCATTGTGTAACTTGGACTTCTCCCATAATAAATGCCACCACCTTTCCTTCCACCATAACGCTCATCATTATCGGCCTATGTCGGAATGGGAAGGATTAAAAAAGGGATATCCATTATGTTGCTTGATGAACAAGAAATACCAAGAAGAAATGTATAGTTCAAATTTAAGTACTATCTTGCAGATTTACCAGTCTCAGCTTTCTAAGCTTCACGTTACTTCTTTCCCCGGTGTATTTTCTTTCAACATAAACATGCTTGATGAAATCCCTGAGTTTGTGAAGGTTGCTGGAAAATGAAGTACATATATTAGATAATAACAGTCCTGGTAAAATTTCACATTATTCAATACAAAGTAGGCATATCTACCTGCCATCGGGATAAGAGTTACGATGTTCATCCCAATCTTTGAAATAGATTTCCCTTGCCCTCTAGAAAAAAAGAGCCTTTAAGTTAGATTAGGACAATGATGTTCTGGAGAATGAAGCAAAAGTCGGTTAATACAGAGCTAGCAGACCTCATTCCCACCAGCCTGAAGAGCACTGACTTCTTCATACGAAAATTTCGCCATCGAAACTGATTTGACACGATGCGTGAATTCCCGACTGAAATGGACAGAATGTAATAATAAATAAGCTTTGGTCACGGTTCTCTTAAATTCTAGAAACAGGAAAATTTAATTTATGTGCAAATATAAAAAAAAATCCATAGAACAAATAACACTAAATCTAAGACTTACTGCACGCCACTGCAATTCGTGCAAACGAACGTCAAGAAGGTTGTGCATACATATTGTGGCCCCTGTAAGAAGAGTATCAGGTTAAAAGCATAGTTGTACAAAGTAACAAGATTGGATGAATTGTTGGCTGGCTATTACACATGCAAGAAATAGTACAAATAACTATAGGAAATTAGCAGTAGGGTACCCTTTTGTTGAACAAGAAATATAATGTATTAAACCACTCCTCTAGAATATATGGATATCAATGCCAATTCGAATTAAAGCATTGTAATAGGAACCCTCAAACACATAATCAATACAATGATGCGATTTTCAATAGCTCATACCCCAACTCTTAATCTATCTAGCTTCCTGGTACCAAAACTAATAATCGCCCCTGACACATTAACAATTAACAAAAATATTATTAATAACTGAAAGCATAATCTCTCGATTATCAAAGGCCTGATACCATGTTAAGAATGAATTCGTCCCACTAACACGAGGTTTTAGCTGAGTAGCCAAAATAGATGGATTATCATCCACAACCAACTTCTTTACCCTAATGCAAAACCAAATTTTATTCAACAACTGGGTTTCAGCAAAGAAACATATTTTTTGATGAACCTACCAGGCTGCTGCAATTGATGCATCTTCGATTCTCGGGAAGCTTGAGAAGACCACGAATGGTCTTCTCAATTTTATCCTCTTCCTTCTCTTTCTTCACCATCGGAATAAGCAGGCCAAGCCTACGCCTATCTGTTTGGGAGCACAAGAAAAAGGTGAAAATATAAAGCTTTTGGGGTTGATTGAACACAACACGAAAACCCCATTAACGTTTGTTGTCGAGAGAAATTGAAGAAACAATACCCGACTGCGAAAGATAGGAAACAGATTATGCACGAAAACCCCCCAAAAATGGGAATGAGGGGGGAGATGGAGGAGGGGGTGAAAGGAGGAATTGACAGGACTTGAAAGGAAACAAGGGTTTAGAGACCGCCATGGGTGGAAACGGGAGATGGAAATCCAAGATACTGTAAGAGAGAGGGCAAATTTTGTGGAGAGAAAACTTTGCGGGTAGCAACGATTAGTTAGGGGTTGCTCATTTTTTTGGTTTTCAAGTTGTTTCCTTTTTAAGGAGAGGAAGTTGAAATCCGTAAATTAAAAAGTACAAAATACTCTAATTCTCTCTTTTCCTTTTTATTTATTTATAAATCCATGCATGTACGCTTTATTTAAACCTTGGAACATTACAGTTAGCAATGAGTTGGGTACAAGGAATATGGGTGGGTGGTCGAACTAGACCTCAGTCTCATCCTACCTATATTAAACACGTGTCATCTTATATGCTACCTCATTACCTTTGCATCATCCCGAACATTTTTCCAATAAGATATTGTCTGTTTTGGGGCTAGACCCTCATGGATTTTGTCTTGAAGTGCGTATCAATGTGACTTCTCATAAGGTCGTTCATTCTTGCAATGCTCTATCGTGACCATATTTATTTTCGAAGTGACTTCTCAGAAGGTCGTTCTTTCCATTTCACCCCAAAACGTGTTTTGTCTAAGGTCAGTTTCTTACTTATGAACCATGGATCTATCTCATGCTTTGTTGGTGCAGGATTCTCCTAAGGTGTTACATACATCTCCCCCCTCCTTTTGGGACTCAACGTCCTTATTGAGGTATCCTCCACCATCGTTCAAGAGGGATGAGAAGAGACTCTGATACCACTTGTAATATCTCAAACCTTTTTTCTATAAGATATTGTCCGCTTTCAATCTAGACCCTCATGGATTTTGGGGTGAAATGGAAGAGTTATTGTAAGAACTCTGAAGTGAAGCGTGCTCACTATAGAGCACTGTAAAGATGGATGACCTATGAAAAGTCACATTGATATGCACCCCCAAGGAAAATTTATGAGGGTCTAGATCAAAAGCAAACAATATTTTGGTCGGAAAAAGGTTCGGGGATGTTACAACCACCCATTCCCCAAAAACGTCATTACATTTCTCCTTCACTTTGAGCCAAATCCCTTTACAAATAGTCCCAATCTCCCGAGCGGAAACATCATCTTCCTACAATTTTTTTTACCAGACTCTGGCAATCAGTTTGCATTAGTAGAGGGAAGAATGGATAATGTCGTGCTAGCTTCAATCCCAAAGATAAGTCTGAGCTTCCGCCATTTCTGATTGCCATCTAACCCTTTCTATGTGGATCGCCGTCATTAAGCATTTTCCTTCTCCGTCCCTTATCACCAAAACCTTATCCTCCTCCATGTATAATACTTGCATCGACATTCAATTTGAACCAATTCGATTTAGGGGCTTCCCAGCGATACTCACAGGGGATGCGCTCTGATATGAGATCTTTAGCTTGCTGCTCTACATATTCCACCAGGTAGTTCTGAGTTCTTTCCACAATTTCAGCCTCAAGCTTTGTATTTTTGTAGAAATGATTGTTTCTTTCTTTCCATAAGTACCAAAAGACGATTAGGAACGAGTAGAGTTCGTCTTCGATAGAGTTAGGAAATCACATAGCCACATCTCACAATTTAGGTTTTCCCCCATATGGAAGTCTTCCTTTAAAAGTTGGTCAGCAAACTCTGCTTGCCCAACCCAGTCTTAGTCCCTAGTTAAGTGTTTTTGGATTTCCCTCAAGCCACAAAACGACAGTCTTTGTTTGCTTCTTTATCGGTCTTCCCAGATTGGCTCCTATTAGTAATAGGTTGCTCCCCCAATTCTCCATGCAAAGATTCTCACCTTAGGAGGCAATTGCAGATGCCACAGTCTCTTTCAGTCAATTGGGACATATTGCTCTATCTCATGTTCCTTCACCTTCTTTCTCCATTCAAAATAGCCAGATTGTGATACCTCGAGTTGGATTTAAGTTGAACAACGACTGCTGAATGAGTTGAACCAACAAATCAAGAGAATCGGAATCACACTACGAAGCCAAGTTGCGGAATGAAAAGGATAATTAGTCCGAGCAAATTTCGGGGACAAAATTTTTATATGAGTGGAGGAAATATAACATCCCTACTTTTGGATTAAGGTTCAACCTGAAATTAATATATGGTTTGATTCATTAGTTAGATACAAGACCTCAAACCAAAACCAACGAGTCACAACTGGGCAAGGAGTTAACTCTCAACAGGACCAATTAATTTATTACCACCACAAGAGTAAGCCATTTAATTGAGAGCTATTATAGAGCCATATTAAGCTAAGTAATTTGGTTCATTATACTGTCACCTTAGGCGTTAAGCTATTAAGTGGGAGTTTTATAGTAGTGGGCTCCGTTATTCATACAAGGCTGTTCGTGGAGTTAATTATTAGGGTTATAGGTATAATATGCCCCTCTACTATGACGTTTTATCAAACATGCCACTGTACTTTGAAAAACTTATCAAACATGCCATTCTGTTAAAATTTTCATTGAAAAAATCGCCAATCATGGTTGAACTGAGATTTAGACGACCCGACATCGGCAAATGGGAGGGAAAATGTCAGTTTTTTCCCCTGTTTTATTTCCCTGGGTCTTTTCAAAGTGAAATTATTTGAATGATTTGATTATACAAAAGAACCAAAAAATTCTAAAATGAATTTATTAGGGATATTTTAGTCATTTGGGTCGCCCAAACTAAAGTTCGGCCTTAGTTAACGGTTTTTTTATTAAAATTTTAACAAAAGGGCATGTTTGATCATTTTTACAAAGTACAGGGGGCAATGTTTGATGTAAAAAATAGTAGAGGGACAAGTTTGATAAAGAGTTATAGTAGAGAGGCATATTATACCTATAACCCCCTAATTATTAGGAGTTAGGGATTAAGGGAAAAACGTAAAAAAAGCCAATTCCACCGCCACCGTCTCGTTGATTCCTCTTCCTCCCTATCTGGAACGAGCGAACCGCCACTCTCCTCCTATTCCATTAGGGCCGACCTCGGGTGTAGAGAGCAGCAACTCTCTATAACGGTCCCGCCTCCTAAGCAAACCCCCCAACCCCGTTGCTTCACCAGCAGTGAATACGAAGGAGCAATGGCCATGGAGGTCGATCGGAAGAGGCAGCGGTAACCATATAAAAGAGAGAGGGTAGACCAGAAGGAAGGTAAAAAACGTTTCCCTACTCACGTCGAGGACTCGTTCACAATAAGCCAGCATTGCTGCTTGCACTACGGGTAAGTAATTTCGTACCTTGTGGAGCTCAGATAATTGGAACCAAGATGCCATTCGTGTGGGGTTTTGTTGTACGGTGGGATTGTTGTTTTGATGAATGCAATATGCATCGAAGGGTTGGCTAAATCTTGTAATCGGTAATGGACGCATTAAGGAATTGAAGTTTGATTTGAGAAAGGGCAGCGGTAACTATATATATATATATACACATATGGTGCCTTCTACGGTACCCCGGGTGAAATCCGGGTACCGCATATCTTGAGTATGGAAACGGTATCTAGACCTCGAATTAGCTGGATTTTGGGGTTTGATACTATACCCTAACCCTTAATGAGTGAACCATGTTGGGATCCCTAATGTCATACTTATTTTATTAGGGATCATTATGTAATTAGTCATTGTTCTCCCTACGTTGAGTTTTGTTGTTTGGGAGAAGACTATTTATTTTCGGCTGCTGCACTTGTAAACCCTAAGCAAGTGAGACTCACATCATTAAGTTTTTCAGCCGAGAGCTTATTGCTCTCCGTGGAGTAGTCTCGTTCATCTTGAACGAGGAAACCACGTAAATCTTGGTGTCTGTTGCTTTTTTATTTCCTCCGCTTCTATCGTATTTTACAAACCCTAGGTCCTAATTATTTAAATCATAATCTATAAACCCTAAGATGGTGCATTCCTTTTTGTATCTATATTTTGACGAAACATAACCGTCGATTATTATTTCTAACTAAATGGATCTTGGAGTATAAGATTGGGAGAATTAAGACCTAGATTTTTATCTTTAAGGGTCAGAGTATAGTATCATGTCTGAAAGATCGGTCAATTCAAGGTCTAGACAGTGTTTTCATACTCAAGGTATGCGATACCCCGGATTTTACCTAAGGTATCGTAGAACTCTCATATATATATATATATATATATGTGAGGCTATATCATGGAAGGGATGACGATAGTTATTGCTAGAATGAATCAACGTAAATCCAAGCGGCACGAATTCATGTGGGGTAGTGGGAAGACAATAAGAAAATTTGTCCTCTTTGGGCTCGTGATTAACTAATACGGACGCCATTAACATTAACATTGGCTTTGTAGTGAATGGTGGGCATGGTAATGCATAGATACAAAACATCTACGTTAGATAGTCAAAAGGCACCATGGGGAAGAATGATTTACCTGGTACATATATGGCCATCCTAATAGTCCTATTAAATTACTTAGTTCTACGTAGACTTGAACAGGGGGATGAGGTTAAAAGAGTAATATGTTAACAATGCTGGTAGAGATTATTTGGAGGTGCGGTTGGATGGGTTATCAAAAGGATGACAGGTTGAAGATTCCCTCAGGAAAGGAATATCAAAGGTGAGTGTAAAAGGGTAAATTCTACGCCTTACGTATTCTTTTAATTATTAAAGTTTTCAGTATTTTTGTGAAGTGTTGCTATGGTTGTTTATGCTCATGATTGATGATATGTGCTTGTTTGAGCTTTGGTTTATAGTGAATATGTGATGTTTAATTTAAAGCTTTACGTTTATGAGTGATTGTTAAAGTTGTATACAGGTCCTTTTGTTTTAAGAAGTACTTCACCTTCAAGAAGCTAGGTGTAACACCCTACCCTACACGTTTTGCCTAATCATATTGTTCATACAATTGCAGCGGAATTAATCTCGGGCGTTACATTAATTATCAAAATTTACCCAAATAAAATTTCGACATGAATTACTCGCGTAATGGGCTAACAGTTCTTGCAACTAAAACCTGCAAAATAATTCATCACAAACATATATACTCACAACCATATGCATTGGCTTTTCATAGCCATAGTCACAGTTTTCATACTTCCTAACTGCATACCATACTTATACATACCATAATCGTCACAACTTACACAGTTACACAACATATACACATATCATTAACTTTCCACACCTGTGGATATCTCACACTACATTCGAAGCTAGTATGCACATGAAAATGTTCTCAAAACATTTTTACAAAAAGGGTGTGGATCACTGGCC